ACATCTAATATGTGGGTTCCTAGGGGCGCCACTAAAACATCTCAATAGGATTGAGATCTGGTGAGTTGGGTGGCCAAGGCAATTTTTGATAACCACAGTCTGACTGCAATTTTCTGTTTTCCTCACCACCATGCCAGGAGGCATTGTCTGCTGCTAGGTAGATATTGTCAGAAGGTCTATCCAGACCTTCTATAAAAGGGATGAGGTATGGCTGGTGGATTTCAGTTGCATATTGGTGGGAATTGAGGCCAAGTCTATCTCTTTTGCTGGTCCTTTCTTCCTCCCCCCTCTTCCTCACAAGAATTAACTCAGTCCTGCCACCCTTCATGATTGCAGCATAGACCCCAATACTAGTCCTCCCAGACTTAAAGCTAGACTTCAAGTTTTTTTCTTCCAGCTCTTCACCAGGTCTAACTCTGACCTTCCTGCCAGTAGGATTTGGATCATAGATAATGGTGGCTTCATCTACAAAAACAACCTAATTCCATGCACCCCTCTAATTCCTCCTTCTCCTAGCAAACTCCTTTCTCTTCTCCTTCTGTCCTTTCCTCCAAAAAGGTTTTTTTCTCGGTATCAGAAGCTTAAAACCAGCTTCTGATATGATCTTATCCACAGATGTCTTTCCCAAACCAATATTCGCTTTTTTGGTAATGTCACATAACGCTAAATGAGGCTCGGCATCGATAATGGACTCCACTCTCTTTTTTTTTTGAGGGGTAATTGTTGTTAGTCTTCCAGATCTGGGGGCATCATGGGTATTTCCATCTCATGATTCAGCTCTTTTAACTACTGATTGAACAGTTACCTTAGAGATACCCATAACCTTAGAAATTTTATTATACCCCATATCAGTATGTTTATACAGGGCATAAATTTCCTTATTTTGATCTTCTCTAGCTCTTCAGGTATGTGGGGGGGTCATGGTAGAAGTGGTTGTGGGGATGGAGGACAACACCGTTGCCGTGCTGGGGTATGAAGACTTTACGGACACGACTGTACCTTCCTGGTATCATACCGAGAGCTCCGAACCCCTCTACCACGATACATCTTGGTGATAACTTGTGATAATGGTTTCATTGCGGTGGAAACATCGACCCCCCCCCACATTTTACTGAGATCACGGACAAAAAGAACAATTGCACAAAAAAGCAAACTAGACTCGCAAACACTCGCGGGAAAAGGCAAGGAGAAACAACCATGATAGCAGTATAATGAACGACCGAGCAGAGTAGAGGAAATATAGAAAAAGTGTATTAAATAATCCCCCTCATACAATCACCACCTCCCCCTCCCCAACAACCCTATCAGTGCCCACTACTACCAACAGTTTTAAAGGTAGTACACAGAAGAGTTTTTTTTTTTTCGGTAAAAAATGTAAAACAAAACAAATACAAGAGATAGGAAAACACCTAAGGCTTGCAGGAAAGGAATGGTGGGGAAATATGTAAGTAAAGGAAAATGAAGAAAAAAATAAGTGAACACAAGCACGCTATGTCTACCCCATTAACATGTTGGGCAGATAGAGAGATAAACAGATAGGACCTCGTCTGCGTCCTCGCCTGTGCAAGGGAACCAATTTTGCCCGTCGGAGATTTTGATTGTTCAAGGATTTGATCCGCCGCCGCTACCGCCGCCACTGTTATTGTTATTTTTCCGCAAAACGGTGACCAAGACTGCGATGATGACGATGACAATGATGATGAGAACTGTTGAGCATAACACATGTATTTACCTCAAGTTAGAAAAGTTGTAAGAAAAGGGTATCCCCTCTGAATCGATCAAGAAAGCAATGCAAGCACGTTTCCCAAGAGTCCGGGATCCAAAAGTGACCAAATTACGAAGGAAAAGCAAGCAAGGAAAAACGGGTATATAAATGAAAAGCAATTCTCGTTCAAGTGTTTTGAGCATTTCCGCCTCACCCCGCGTAAGACCAGACTTTTACCACACGCCGTTGACCTTCGTGACCACCAATGCGATAACGACGATTGCAATGATGATGAGAACTATAACCCCGGGGTTGAAAAGGACAATGTTAGGTCAAAATTTTCCTCGAGATAATGAAAAAAACACATGATCTGAACAAATTTTTCTCCCTCCACCCCGGAGTCTCCCCCTACTACAAAGGTCGGAAGGTAGGGGAATTTGGTCCCATTTTAAAGCTCATTTCTTAGCTAGAGACCGCCACAGCAACCGCAACATGGCGATGATCATGAAGACTGTCCTCCAACGTCCCATGGTAAAAAAGGAAGTCGTTGTCACTTTCAACACTTGGAAGTGCCAAAACAGTCCAAAACAGAAAAACGATTGAAAGAGAAGGCGAAACGCAATAAAAAATAGGATGTACTTACGGACGATGAGAAGGCACCACCACTTCTTTCTTCTTCGGGAACGAGCTTTCTCCACAGCCTCTCCAATCTCTTCTTGGGCCTTGACGACATTTGTAGTAACCTCTTCTCCTCGCTGGTCAATGTTCTCAACCATTGCCTCTTGTTCAACGACCAACTGCTCCATCTGGGTAAAGAGATCTGCGAGCTCAATGATGGTTTTCTCGATGCGTTGAATCTCATTGTGCCGCGCCTGCACTTCGCGGAGCGCGGATCGAGCTTCGCCCCGTCGGTTACCCGACAAAAGCTGGAATGTGAGTTAGTACAACAGCAGTGACGCAGCCATGAAATTGAGACTTACAGCTTGCGAAAAGATTTGTTGGCCTTGTCCGTCATTACATGCTTCCTGTACTTCCTGCTCAGTGGCGTCCGGACGAACAATCCTATACTGTCTAGCCATCTGCTCACGAGCCCTCTTCTGAAAAGTAGCCTCTACTGATTGATATTTCCTGAGAACATCCTTGAAGCTGCGGTCCAGGTTGTTAACCTGAGGTGCCTTGCTGGGATCGGTAGCAGCCTTTCCTTTTAGCCTCCTGATCCTGTCGGCAAGAGCTCTGTTCAACGCCGAGGTATCAGCGACCAAAGAGTCCAACTGATGATGCGTTTGGGATGATGTAGATTCATCAATATCTGTGAGAGAGCGCTGGTGCAGCGATTCAATACGAGTGATATTGGCTTTAACTTGGTCGATATCTTCTCTGAGTTCATTTACTTCTGCAAAAAATTCCTGCTGAGAATCAGCTCCACCGGGGGTTGAGTCCGTCATCTTCGCCATTTCGTAGTTTCCTGTGGCTAATGGAGAGTAAGGTTCGACTTTAGTTTGGAATCCCGTGATCAACCTCTAGACAGATAGTGAAACTGAGAAAGGTGGTAGTTACCTGCACTCCCTTGATTATAATCCTGACTGCCCTGAGCTCCATAGCCACTTTGTCCACCGCCGTAATTATCATGTGGGTTGTAGTTATCCTGCTGGGCATACGGATTGTTTTGGCGGTAATCGCTAAATCAAGAGAGAAAAAGGTCAGCCTCCATGCCTCAGGTGATACGTGCGGCGGACGCCGGAAGAGCCTCAATCCGGCTCATCACGGCATGAATGTAACAAAAGAAGTCGCGAGGAGAAACAGGGCGGTCGCAACTGTCTGAAACTGAGAGGAATAAGAATAAAACATACCCCCCGTAACCAGGTCTCTACACGTTCGAAAGTATGTGATCAGCAAGAAATAACAAGGTAAGAAGGGCGCTCGCCACCCAAATAGGGTTTAATAGATAGGGAAACCTGCACTCATGTTTGCGACTTAAAATTTTTGGGCGCTGTAAGAAAGCGAGCTCGACTTGATCGAGGAATCAATTCTATTGACCGAGCTGAAGATTAAGAAGGCGAAAGTAAGAAAATGGTAAGGTGAAAGGGGGATTGGTGTGAAAGCTGAAGGAATGAAAGTAGAGAAGTGAAGGGCTGAAAAGGAAAACGAGATAGAAAGATGTTCTGAGAGGAAAAGTGGAAAAGTGGAAAAGAAAAAATAATATGAAGAGGATCAGAAAGGAGAGGGGGTGTGTGTGGTGGATGTGAACAAGGAGAGCGCAGGGGAGGGCGGAGAGGTTATAGAAGTCAGAAGGGGGAGCGCAAGGGAGGGAGAGGTCAGGACGGGGGGACTAGCGAGGAAAGAGAATAAACAGAAGGGAGGGCTGGGAAAGGAAGGGGGGGTTAGTCTACGGTACCGGTACGAGTACTTGTACCGTACGGTACTATACAGTATCATACCGTATTCTTGGCTGAGGCGACTGGTTGGGGCGAGGGTAAACTAAGAGTAAAGCTCCTCCCAATCAAAAGGTCTCGGTCACAAGGGGGCTGTCAGGTCATGGAGGAGCCACAGTTTCCAATTGACCCCAGCAAACAGAAAGAGGAGAAAAGGAGAAGAAACCGAAAAGTCTGCTGCACTCAATCGTGCTGGTTTTCTGTGGAGGCGTGTTGTTCCCCCCACTCGAGTAATTTTGCGTTCGACGATGGTGTTCTGGATAGTTGTATTTTATGATTGAAGTGTACCGTACGAGTACTGTACAGTACTGTTCCATACTCGAGTAGACTTCAATACAGTTGTACCCGTGCGACCGCTGGAGTTCAGATTTTCCCATGAATCGAGGAAAGAGAGGGAGAGGGTGGGTAACCGCCGTTGCCAAAATTATCGGAATCCCCACGGTTTGCGTTGCGCGCAGGTCACAAATGTCTAACCCTGGGCATGAGCCCGGCGACCCCTCCCAAAACCTCCCTTGGCGGAAAATATGATACTCGTACTGTACTAGTACAAGTATCATACCTTGCACGGTGCCGCACAAGAGAAAGGACCGTGCCTCTTGATCCTTTTATTTATTTTTTTCCTCCACTGGTTCCTGGATCAACAGTTGCTCGAAGGGTTTAGTTGATTCATGCGAGTCCCTCTTCCCCAGGATTTCGTTGACCCAGGTCCCACTGGTGCATATGCCGAGCCAGGGGGGTACAAGTACGAGAACTCGTACTATACCGCACCGCACTCGAGTACGGTAGCTCGAAGAATTCTCAATAATTGAACTCTCCACTGCCTCTAAAATGGATCAAAGTGAGTTGACTGGGCGACGATACATCAATGCTTGAGCACTGAGCATGAAAGCATCAGTCAGTTCACCGCATATAATTTGCCATGCCGCTCCATGTGATATCCTCCATGCATCATAAGTTACTAGTACTGATAGTAGTACCCTGATAGTAGTACCGTATCATACCATCAACTTTCCCTCCCTTTCGGATCCTACTCGTACTTGTATGGTGCCGGCACCTTATAATCTACCCCCACGACGCCCAACCCCGACAGATATTTCAACTTGCAACAACAACGCCTACAATTAGAATTTCAAAATCGATTTTGTATAGCCCTCCTAGTTGCATGTTAGAATGTATTTACACAGCGATTTTCTCCCTAACCTCCTGGTGGGCACTGTAGAGACCTTCAAAGGTTGTATGGGAAGGAGGATAGTGAGACATGAATGGGGAAAAAAGCTTTTGCTTATCATAAGAATTTGCCAAGAAACCCCACATTAGGCATAAAATATTACCATATTAGGACTAGCGCCCTTCATTTTTTGTGAGACTCAGGGTAGGTTTTAAGGTGCCGGCACCAGACAGCCTCAATAGCTTTGCCTGCGGTGTACTATAGTCAATACTCGAGTATGATATAAGCACCAGCACCGCCACCCTTGTGCCCCAAAGTGCGACCCCAAACCCACGTGTTTGAGGAAAGAAAGAGAGAAAGAAAAAGAAATCACAGTACCCCGGATCTTGCTCCCTTTTTGGTCACCCATCAGGCACACGGCACCCGAGCCCTGTTACTTGTACGAGTACTAGTACTCGATGTTTATCTCAGTCCCCGTTGACAGGAAGAAGGGAAACTATGATACGCTGTTCGCGGCAATTACTCGAGTACTCAGTAGGCAGAGTCCGCCACCTTGTATGGTGCGAGGTCGACTTACCGGCTAGTCTACGTACGTACCGAGTACTGTACGGTACAATTTCCCTACCACAGCCGGTTCGAATGCTGACTTCTTTATTTCCCTCCACCCTAGCGTTATATAATGGCTTTGAGACCATACGGTAGATGGGCTGTGGACCCGTTATGAATTGTGGATCCTTACTTTTGGGGGAATTTAAACTAAGCTTGGACGTTACTGGTGTGATCCTTGAATACCGGTAGAAGTGTTGTACGGGTACTACCGTAGCATAACACTTGTAAGAATAGTCTACAGTAGAGAGAAATTGTTCCTTCTCATTGAGCTCTTAGACTACCTAGATAGCCCACACTGCATAAATGAACTCCGAGGAAGCATCTGGCAACGCAAGGCACGAACAATACAATACTGTACCGGTACCGAACGGTATCCGAACTGGGGGACTGGTACATAGGGAGGAAGAAATCGACTCGAGTATTGTTTTGGCCCGCGGTTCGAGTCGTCATTCACGAAGTCGTCGTCATCACCAGAAGAGTTCGCTCACGGCGCAGCCTCCGTTTCAAGCACACATCGCCACCGCTGATGCCCATCACTGACTAAATAACAGCCCGAACCGTCTAAACACATCCGGCCGTCAAAAACCCCCGCCAGACACTCCAATTCAACAACCGCTTCATCTCCTGGTGGGAAAGACGCGTCTCTGCTTCCACAAAGACAATACCGCACCTACCAGCTACTTCGTGAACCGCCTTATCCGCTATTACTTGTAATCCTCCGGAAGCCGCCATGTACTCGTACTGTACAAGGGGGTGGAAGGAAGTAGTGCAACACCATTGCAACGGCATCCCCCACGATGGCATCTCTGCTTCCAACCCCCTTATTGTAATATCACCTCTATCCTTCACAGCCCTCCAAACCTTCCTCAAGAATCAATATATGGGTAAAAGGAACCTGCCACAGTGAATGTAAGTAGTTTAATTAAATAAATGTACATAGGTAGTTGAGATAATAATAAGATAAAATAAAATAGTGATCAATCCAGAAAACATTAAACAACAGTGATTGTTGATGAAGAAGAAGCAATGCTTTGAGCAAGAAACTACCTGAAATGACTAGGTTCAAATTATTGCCCTACGAGATATAGCAGGATGGTCTTTCAGAAAGATAGCTGCTAAATTGAAGGAAAAAACTGGCCTCAAAGTACATCATAGTACTTGTGCTCACATCTATTACTACTACCAGGAAACAGGTAGTTCTTCCAACTACCAGCAAATAGGAAGACCTCCAATCTTCTAACAGTCTGACCTAGATGATCTGAAGTTTTTATTAAAGAAAATAAAAGAAATAGAAGACTATCTTGGAAAGATATTAAAGAAGTAAAAGGATTGAAGGCCTCATTTAGGGCAATCAGGAAGGCAGCTAAGAGTATTAATTTAAATAAAAGGAAACCTTGCAAGAAGTAAGTTTTCTAATAAAAATTTATGTTTTTACAAAGCTAAAATATATTTTAAATAAGGTTTGTGCCCTAAAAATATACTAATTAGATTTGGTTGGTGTATGAGAAAAAGAGCTTGGAAATTGAGAAAGTGGTCTAGAATCATATGGACAGATGAAACTTCTTTTTCTATAGCTAGATTTGGACAGAGAAGATGGGTGATAAGAGAACATTCTGAGGAGTATGATCAGGAGTGTCTGAATGAGGTCTAGGAGTCCAGAAGAGATACTGTTACGGTATGAGGAACCTTTTGTGGAAATTTGAGATCAAAGTTGGTAGTAGTGTCAGGAAAGGTTAAAGTGGATTCTTGTAAGTATACTAAGTGTATACTGGATTCAGTTTTAATTCCTTTCTGGCATGAGTGTTGTGAGAGATTTGATTGGAAAAAGTTGTCAAAGATAGTACAACAGGGCATCAAAAGTCAGTTCTATCTTCTTCCATATATCTTATAATTGTTTTATTTCCTGTCTTATTATTATAGAACTACTTACTTAAGAATATAATCTAACTACTAATTGAATTACAGATTTTCTACAAAGTGTAGAAAGAAAAATAAGGTAGATATATTGCCTTGGCCACCACAGTCTCAGGATCTGAACTTGATCGAGAATATCTGGAGAGATATTGAGACTTACTTGGAGAAAAGGTATGAAAGAGTTGCATGTAGAAAAAAGCTAATCAGAGCTATGGAGGAAGCTTAGAAAGCTATTCCTAATGAAAGGTTTATGGGTTTTTATAGAAATATGTCAAAAAGAATCAGAGAGGTTATCAGACGACAAGTGCACCAAACTCATTATTAATTTAGGATTTTCTTTTTATTTTACTTCAAGAGAATACTGAGGATTATTTTATTTTATCTCCTTTACTTATTTTATTTATTAAATGTTGTTGTTGAATGAGGTAGTACTATACATTGTTGAGAATGCTAATATATGAAGATTTGTATTGTACGAGTATCGCATTACTTTTTTCCACCCCCTGTACAGTACTTCGCCTCAGATTTGTTGGCTTAGAAGATACTCATAGACCATTATCGACGAATGGGAACTACAGAAGTACCTGTCAGATATTACAAATTGGTAATCTATGAAGCATATAGTACAAAAGTTTACCATAAATTGATGGTACAGAGCAGGAATCAGAGGTTAGAGAGCAGTAGTATGGCGCTTATCAAGTATGTACCATAATTTTGTCCAAATCTGTGCTATTAAATTCAACAAAGTGTGAACTAAAGAACTAAATATATCATAATCATAGCTAGACCTTACGAGGAATCCTTTCAAATACCATGGAAAACAGGGGGGTACATTTGTAATACTATTCTTGGTAAAAACAGACCATTGCAAGGTTTCATATT